TGTGTGTGTGTGTGTGTGTGTGTGTATATGTGTGTTACACCGCTGCTTTGTCAGTGTCTGATAAGGTGGAACTCTTCCTATAGATCAGACTAATCAACCATTTAATTATTCAATAAATCAATTATTCATTCTCTTGTAGACAGTAACAGGGGCGTCAATCTTTTTTGCTTGGATGTGGGGTACACTAGCATGCATTATTAGTTTGTAAATATAAGTCTGTCTCTGTGAATATCTTTCTATTGGAAAATGTCATGTTGATCTCATCTGGTGTGTTGAACTAATGTATCTGATTTATCTTTTTTCTGTACAGACTTGTCGAAAAACCGTTTTTGTGAAATCCCTCCAGAAGTTTGTATGTTTGCGCCGCTGGAGTCATTAAACCTCTACCACAACTGCATAAAGGTTGTTCCAGAGGCCATTATCAACCTACAGATGCTCACCTATCTGAACATCAGGTAACACCCACACTATGATATCTGTTAACTCGTGTTAACATCTCATTATTATTGATCTGTTTCTTAGGCTACCTTGGCATCAATAAAAATTGTGTCTTTTGAATGAAACTGTATTTAAATATATGGCAGACCCACTGAAATTCATTTGAATCGACTCCTAATGCAGTAGCTGTAAACCCTGATTGAACACTGACAATTTGGTGAGGAATACACTATTGTTCAAAAGGTTTATTTGATCCAAAATACAGTAAAAACAATAATGTTGTGAAATATTAATACCATTTTTGAGTAACTGTTTTCTGATTTAAAATGAAATGAAATTTAATCTTTAATCTTTTTTAAACAAAATTACTACTTTTATTTAGCAAGGGTGCATTCAATTGATAAAAACAACATGGCAACAAATACATTATATCACATCACAAAAGATTTCTATTTAAAATAAATGCTGTTTTATTATTGGAACTTTGTATTAATCAAATAATCCTGAAAAAAAATAGATCATAGTTTCCACACAAATGTTAAGCAGCACAACTGTTTTCAGCATTGATAGCAGTAAGAAATGTTTCTTGAAGAGCAAATCAGGAATTAGATTTCTGAAGGATCATGTGACACTAAAGACTTGTGTAATGGCTGCTGATGAAACCGCTTTGTCATCACAGGAATGAATAAATTCAAATAGAAAACAGTTATTTTACTATATCGTAATGATATTTCACAATATTACTGTTTTTACTGTATTTTTGACCAAATACATGCAGCCTTGGTGAGCATAAATCACACAAGATTCTCAAAATGTTACAGATCCAAAACCTTTGAATGGTAGTTACTATCATCTAGCAACTGAAAGAGGTTAAATTGATTTAAGCTTTTCTATGGGTTCTGTAATTAGTGAAAGTGATAGAGGTTGAAATGTATATTTATTAAAGCCAGTCCTTGTGTTTTCAGTCGAAATCAGCTGTCCGTTCTCCCCAAGTTTCTCTTCAATCTTCCTCTGAAAGTGCTGGTGGTCGGCAACAATAAACTTTTGTCTATTCCTGAGGAGATCGGAAAGGCCAAAGACCTCATGGAACTGGTCAGTGTGTGGAATTAAATGTGTGATTATTGTATATAATGTGTGTGTATCTGTTGTTGATGTACAGTATGTGTGTTTTCTCTGTTCAGGACGTCAGCTGTAATGAGATCCAGGTGCTTCCTACTCAAATGGGGAAACTCCTCGCGTTACGTGAACTCAACATACGAAGAAACTGTCTACAAGTGTTACCAGATGGTATTGAAACATACACAAGACAGATTTGTCAACAAAAGCATAAAACTACTACATCTTCACTGGATACACACTGAAATTAGCCACATTTACTGTGTATACTAGTTATGTTAATGCTAAGAGTTAGAAAAGAAATTCTTATTATATCTTTCTTTCTTTATTTCTTTCTTTCTTACAGAGTTGTCCGATCTGCCATTGATTAGGTTGGATTTCTCCTGTAATAAAATCACTGAGATTCCCATATCTTACCGCAAACTTAAGCAGTTACAGCACATCGTTCTTGACAACAACCCCATGCAGTCTCCTCCTGCCCAGGTGTGTCTGTACTCATCTGTTACTGTCTATCTCTTCACATGTATGGAGCTGAAGCTA